GGAGCACAGGAGGACAGGCCCTGGTAGGTGTGGTCTGAGGCACAGCCCCGAGGCTGCAGACCCTGCCCCCCTCAGCACAGCTGTTCTCTTTTGTCTTATGACAAGCCCATGGGAACCTGATCCAGCTGGGATTAGGAGGAGGCATTTGAGAAGGGACAGTGGCCTGAAGACAATAGCTGCCCCACCCCCAGGAGCTATTTTGGGGGCATGTCGTAGATGGTGAAACAGAGGACATTTCCTAAGAAGAGATTTGAGGAAGGGGGGCTTCTGGGAGAATTAGTCACCTGCATCCCTCTCCCACCCACCCCTCCCGCTGGCTGCTTTCCCCCACACCTGTCTCCCCTTTCACCTTCCCGTACATCACGCAGCGGGGAGGGTTGGGGCAGGGCCCAAAGGGCACCTTCTGTCCACAGACCTCACCCTGAACCCTACATTGTTAGACCCCGAAGTCTTTGAGGCAGCCTAGGCCACAGGGTGCCCATCCCCAAATCCCAATACCCACAGATTCTGAGACCCGGATTTCTGGTGCCTGTGTTTCTGAGACCACAAGTCCTCACAGCTCCAGATTCTGACAGCCCAGTTCATGATGGTCCACATATGGGCCAGGACATCCTAAGACCACCCCCTAAGACCTCCTAAATTCTGAAGCCTCAAGAATATGAGACCCCCCAAAACCTTGATACCCAAACTTGGAGGCCCAATTGATGATATCCCAGATAATGACACTCCAGGTGGTGATGATTTCTATCCTCAACCTCAGATTCTGAGGCCTCCAGTCCTAAAACCCCAGATTCTGAGACCCCTTCCCAATTCCTGATACCCTCAGAGTCTGAGGCCCCAAATCCTGATACCCAGACTGTTTGACCTCGAAGTCCAGATGTCCCTGACTTCTGAGCTTTCCCCCAAGACCCCTAGAACCCCAAGATCTAGGCAGTTTTATTCTGGGACACCCAAGTCCTGGCAGCCTCAGACTAGGATTTGTGTAACCCACAAATCCTAATATTTTCCCCTCTATCCCGAGTCCCCCTAAAGTCTGAGCCTCTCAAGTTCCCAGACCTCCAGCTGTATTCCCCACCTACCTCTGCACGATTTCTCCACACCCCACATCTTCCCCACCCGCCTCCTGCCCCCTCCCCGAAGGACACCGTCTGTGGAGACCACAGGGCCCCGCAGAGCCCCTTACCTAGGCTGCGTCTGAGATCCTGGGAATCTTGTGGCTGAGCCTCACCACGGGCACTGAAGCTCTGGGGGTTTTATAGCTGGAGGCTGGGCCCCGCCCCGAGGGGAGAGGGAGGAGGAGAGAATTCCTTTGCTCAAACACAAGTCTGGGAGCCCAGAGACAGCCCTGCTGTCCCCGTTGTTTCCATGCTCAGGGTCCAAATGCCTCCGTGGGCTCCTCCCCAACCCCATCAGCAGGGCCCTGGAGCCCCGCCCCCACCCCCAGCCCCAGGCCCCCATGGTGCTTCAGCTCCCTCCCTTGTAGCTCCCTCCCTGCGCTTGACGTCCCAACGCCCAGCACACAGTAGGTCCTTGGAGGACCTACTAATGACAAAAAGGCTATAAGGAATGTTTCCTGTTTTCTTCTCTGTTCCCTCTTTCTGTCTAGGCCTCTTTCTGGACCCGTTTCTGTGGTCTCTGTGGCTCTTCCTCTGTGTATCTCTGTGTGCCTGACTCTACTGCTTAGTCTCCCCCTGTCTCTGTCCATCTTTCTGTCTCCCCACCCCCACCCCTTTGTCTGCCACCAGGATTCCATCCTGGTGACAACAGGCACTAAAGCCAGGAAGCAGGTGTGGGGGGGCGGGGAGGGGAGGATGGGGTGTCAATTAGGGTGGAAACCTACCCTCTCTCCCCCCCTCCATCTGACACTGATCTTTTTTGGCATCCCCTCCCTCTTCCCAGCCAAGCCACGACCTTGAACTCTAGGTTCAACCAGCCCTGGAGAGCAGGCTTCCTCGGATTCCTCACCCTCCACGCCTCTCAGTGTCTGTCTCTTGCGGTCTTGGTCTTTGTGTGTTTCTGTGCATTTCCTGGGGTCCCTCGCTGGCTCTCGGTCTTGGGCTCTCTCTGAATCTGTCTCTATCCGTGACCCTCAGTGTGTTTCTTGGCAAGTGTCTCCAGGTGGTTTTGTCTCTGCATTTCTGTGGGTGTCTCTGCATGTCCCTCTCTGCGTTTGTGTCTGTGGGGGCTCACAGTCTCTCTGTGCATTTCTGTCCACCTACGACCCCATATCTTTGCGGGTAACCCCTTTCTGCGCACCGAGGAAGGAGAGTTAAGCAGACCCCGGCACAATTAGTGCCTGAAGAATATCTTACTGCTCACTCTTCACTTATTTCCTTTTATATATAATTTCTTCATAGATAATCATGTCTTAGTTTGTAGTTGGAGGAATGTCTAGAGCAGACACATTGCAGAGCATGAACTAGGGAAAAACAGCCACACCAGGACAAGAATCAATGACCCAGGCGGTACAGCCCCTGCCTGAAAGAGCATGCGCTACATGGCAGGTTGGCCCAGGCAGCAGCGTTCAGTATCATAAAGACACCCGCTGTATGGCAGGCTTGCAGCAAGAGTCACTCCTCCTGAAAGGGAGTTGTAGTATCTTGCATAGAGTTCTTGTGGAAAGCTGGCCTCAGGCTGGCAATCCCTCCAACGTCCGAGGGCTTAAAACCCGTCCAGTATAATTGCGCTTAGGTGGCTGTACACCCTGTCAGCGCTCTCGCTACTGTGCTGACTCAAACCATCTTCCTATAGAAATCCTTAGTAGGGGCCGGGCGCGGTGGCTCAAGCCTGTAATCCCAGCACTTTGGGAGGCCGAGGCGGGTGGATCACAAGGTCAAGAGATCGAGACCATCCTGGTCAACATGGTGAAACCCCGCCTCTACTAAAACTACAAAAAAATTAGTTGGGCATGGTGGTGCGTGCCTGTAATCCCAGCTACTCAGGAGGCTGAGGCAGGAGAATTGCCTGAAC